GGCCTTGTAATCCTGGGGTCCCGGGTTCGGTTCCCGGTGGTGCCCGAATTTATAACTTGTGTTGGGCAAGGCCGTGGTCTAGGCAACACGGAGTTTTCCTCCGGGGGCTTCCCCGGTTTCTCCGTGGCATCCCATTCACACACAGAAGAAGGCAATGGCAAACCACTTCTGGATCATCTGCCAAGAACGTATATGAACAGGTCCCAGTCCGAGAAAAGGATGGATGGATCCTGTTCTTATGGACCTGTCGTCAGACAGAACACTTAAAAAAGAGAGAGAGAGGACTTAGAAACTTCATTACCGTTATGACGTTGCATTTTATCCAGAGTCAGTGAACTCTATTTAAAATCTACAGAACATGTATATTTAAGATTAGATACGTTTTTAATATTATCTTCCCCCATGCTGCAAGGTCTCGGAGATGGTATTTTCCCTTCTACGTACTTGAAGTACCTGTCTTTCATAGAATGAAGAAGTTCAGTTTCTGTGAACATCGGGAAACCACTAGTTGGGTTTGCTCTGCGTTAATGACCCAGACAGAGTAGGGTCGCCTACTGTTCGATCCGCCTCGTTGTATCGTGCGTGGCGTGACCTTGGTCTCGTTCCGCGCGTGCTCATCGAAAGCATCTGCTCTGTGTCAGAGGTCTCGAGGTTAATATTCGGGAATTAAGCTCGAGAAGGTACAGTTAAATATCACCCGGATACTGTGTCTGTCAGAGGCGTAGCATTTATGTTAACCGTGTTAGCTAAGCTATTCGCTCGGAATCTCGAAACTGTGCTTTTATTAATTCATTTTTATACCAAACACTGTTGTGTTATCCTATGATATTTTAACCCGAATTATAAGTCTGAACGTTCTTGTGTTAAAGTTTCTCAACAACACATTTTTATTGAATAGTGTAACAAAGTAACATTTTAAAAATAAAATCGCTATTTATTTATCTTGATTTAATTACGAAATGTGCAAGGCCTTAACACGTAAACATCTGTTTTATCGCGTTTTATATACGTACGTGTACAAAGAAAGTTATGAATGAGTGAACAGTCTTTTGTTTACAGAAAACAGCATATAAATTAAAATTAAGTAATGTGTAACAGAAAATTACAATTATTACTATTTATCTTTGTCTAATTGAAGAATATTGTGTAATATTTCATATCGCGCAGTCTCAGGTATGATCTTATATCGAGGTTAAAATAACTACGTAATATCTCACTTTTGACCACAAAGACTTCCTGTTAGTCTGTCTCAGTGTTACCACAGAGTACTCGGTCAAAAATATAATGACTGTAGATAGGCGTTGTTCTTTTCATTCTCTTAAGATAAAGGCAGAAACCAGTTAACTTGATTTACTGTAATAGAGAACACGTAGCTTCCAACTTCGTTTACATGAAGGTGCCCGATTGATGTTAGGCTACACTTAACTCGTCTGGAACTTTTTGTAACTACGTTCAGAGCGAATTCTATTTCAAGTTACTTCCTACCACAAAATGGTTGGTAGAGTGGGCTAGTGGTTAGAACGCTGGCCTTGTAATCCTGGGGTCTCGGGTTCGATTCCCGGCGGTGCCAGAATTTATAACTTGTGTTGGGCAAGGCCGTGGTCTAGGCAACACGGAGTTTTCCTCCGTGGCATCCCAACAATTACTCCATTCACACTCACACAGAAGAAGGCAATGGCAAACCACTTCTGGATCATCTGCCAAGAACGTATATGAACAGGTCCCAGTCCGAGAAAAGGATGGAAGGATCCTGTTCATATGGACATGTCGTCAGACACAAAACTTCGTATTTGGATACTCACTAAAAACTGATACATTCGTGTTACATATTCGGATTATGATAAATAATGAGTGTTTAAAATAATTATTACGTAAATAAATTATTTCCATTAACCCTGACTCTACCATTAAAATCAGTCAGCAGTATAATGAATTCTCGCGATACCAGCCCTGTCAGGTGGTTGAAAGGTGAAAACACTGACGGTTCGAGAACCATCTTCGTCGTCATCCTCGGGGTATTGAAGTGCCCTCGGGAACTTCCAATCACCTGACACGGCTGGTAGCCGGAGAAGAATTTATTATACTTAATCGCCGTGAAAGCCTCAGACCATATATCAATGAACACTCTTCCTGTAGTTTGCATTACACGTGCTTAATTTTAAATACACTTCATTACAATTTGTCACGTGGATCGGACGATTCCGGTCAGCAGTGTACCTTGTCATCGTGTTCCTCAGGCTGACTCATGTATAGGCTATTGCAAGACATTTTATCTGTTTTGGCGACTTCGAGGATTTATGTTACATCTGTGTTGATAATATGAGTTTTGTTATATTGCATTTAAATATTGATATATATTTAAATGTGAGTCGACAGTGCGAGATGATTTAGAAACAGTTTAGGTTACATTTGACTACAGTATTTTTACAATATCGAATAACATTTTCCATGCTACGAACGAGAAACTCGTTCAGAAACATGAGTGTATTTCATGTACACGAAAATAAACTATCATGCCATCTGTTGACTGTCTAAATAACTGTTTGGGGTCTTGTCTTATTCTTATCCTCCAATTCACGGATTAGTCCGATGGCCTGTTCTGGCTTCTATGAAATCCATCTTCTGCGTGGTCTTTCAGGATCTTTCTTACTTTAGGCGAAAGCCACAGGGCCTATTTGGGCCTTTTCATGAATTGAAATCATAATCTGTAATGATTTACGAGAATTGAAGCAAGGTATATTTGCTTTGAGAGTTGAATTTCACAAGGTATTAACATAACCTCATTGTTTACCAATAGGTGTGTTTATTACTTAATGCCTTCGTATTTGTTATCCCTTCCGGTTTATAAAATTTATTAGCATGAAATTTTTCACTAAGATTTTATTTGATCATTTCCAGTTTTTCCATATACGGATCTTAAATGAACAGAAACAATATTTCCAGAATTGAAAATATAATTTAAGTCCGACACAAATTGTGTGAATTTGTAGCTTTTCATTACTCTGTGAACACCGTTCGTGCATTCCATGTGGATCGTAAAAGTGGGCACTAATTCCTTTTTCTGGCTCTGTGCCAAGCATCGGAAGCCACTTGGTCTGGTTTGTAAAGCCTCCATATGCGATTGGCCAAGTTCGCGCAGCAGTGAGGGACAGGTGGGGATTTTAATGTTTTCTTACATATGAAAGCTAAAACAAGTGAGTTTTATACAGAATATAATTATGACAGACACTGTGAACGGAGTACGTTGCAACATGAAGCGGGTTACTCCTCTATCTACGATCTTGTTGGAAGCTATAAATAAATATGTGCTGTAGAGGTCAGGGGAACACAAACCTTCCTGCTACAGCTGAGTCTCGTCTCACAAACTGCAATTATTCAGTCTCGTCTCATTTAGGACGTCTCTGGCAGCCGAACTGCGTGAACAGTGGTTGTGTTACTTGAAATCACAATCTGATATATTTATTTGTGTGTGATGATGAAGAGTGAATTTCTGTTTGATGAAATACGAGTGGATGACAATGAAGATGATGCAGGTGGAATGCCATAAAAGATTCATCTATTGAAGTGGCGTTAGTTTAAATGTTCTGTGCTCGTTGGTTTAGAAAAGGTAAGAGTGTTATTGAATAATGTGTTCGCACTATGTTGTTTTATGTTTTAATACAAAAAAATGTATTCACAAAATCTTTATTCATACGAAGCAGTTTGAGACACTACTGTCTTGAGATGCAGAATTTTTGTATTTGTCTGGTGAATAGGCTATAAGAACAGCCGTCATTTTAATTACTTGTACACTCTTTGCGTTAGAAATAGTTTGTGAAATTGATACACCCAGCAACTTAAAGACTGTCATGCCACTGTAATAACGATGTAAATACGTTTAATGTTAAATAATAATATTGAATGTGTTATTTTCTTACTGTTTATTCAGTGTTCGAATAGATTTAATTCTTTTAAACGTAAAATAATATCGCATAAAATAATTCTGAATGAATTTTATGATATAGTTGTTTCTATTCAAGTTATAATATTTCTGCTGCAGATTAAAAATAAATACTATTTTTTCAGCGTGAATATACATAGTGGGTATAAAGCTCTGATATTTTTTAAAAAAAAAAATTCAAATATAAATAAGAAACTATTTCTGTTTCAGGAGTAGCCCGAGATACTGACTATCCAGAAAGTATTGGTGGGATTATCTTACGTAATTTTTATTTTTTGTGATTTCGAAAAGAGTATATTTTTCAACAAAATATATTGGGACTTTATTAACCATCTTGTACATATAACTAAAATTTTATTTTTTAACATATGTAAATAAAACTACTGATACAATTTTAGGTATAAACAATTTGAATTTATTTTTATCAGTAACTAGACGATAACTTCGGTTTGTGCATTATTACATAGGTTATCTGCGAAATTTAAATTATCATTTACTCACGAATTAACAATAAAATTGTGAACATTTTAGTTATTTCCAATAAGCATGATCATGATTTCATTCTTTTTAATATATCCAGATCATTCTTACTAATTAATGGTATTTGCTAATATAGGCTCGTGTTAGTATTTAAATATCGAAAAAAATATTCATTTGAATGTTTATAATAACAGCAGATACTTGTTACTTGTTACAATATCATTTTAGTGTTTTATTTTTTACGAAATGCATAGAAATGAACATAAAGGTGAGGTTATGTCTGTCTGTATCGGATTTCAGTGTGTGGTAATGCGGTCTTTTCTTAACCATGCAGCTCAAATCAATCGTGTATATTTTATTTCTTAAAAAACGGGATTGTAAAAGAATTAGTGTACATAATACAATATGAAGGTCTCCTAAGATGTATTCGTAATACAATGAACGCTATTTGTAAATGCTGTGGATGAACTAGAAGCCAGTGGTATATACAAAATGACAAACAGCGATCTTGGAAATTTCTTGAATTCATATGGCCCACCCTTGTTTATCTAAGCGAGCATTAAATTTATTAATGTCTGTAACATTTGTCACTCGGGACGACACGTTTTTTCCAAATCACCTAATGTGCGTAGTCTGACTATAATCTCATGGCTTAGACTAGCCGCTCCGCCATGGCATGCTATAAATCAGGGTTATCGATCTATTCAGTGCAGGCTGTACATTTTACCTTTTGTTGTCGACTCCCGGGCCGCGGGGTTCCCTAATTAGAAGATTATATACGAACACAGCATTTCATTTGAAAGCTTATAATGAAGAAGAACTTTGAAAATCTGGGCATAGTTGGGAGGAAATTGTTAAAATGGAACATAGGGAAATAGGGCGAAATGGATGGACTGGATTAAATTGGGGCTATTGTGAACATGGCTATGATCTTTCGGGGTCCATAGGAGATAGATAGCTGAGCTAGTCAGCATACGAGGTGCGATCGGAAAGTTTCAAGACTGCGCCTATAAAAACCCGTACACTTATCTCAGGTATTAAATTCATCCATC